GACCCTGAGCCCCTGATTATTGTTTCTGAGATCACAGAACCCCAGTCTCCTGAAGGAGGTGTCAGGAAGGTGGAGTAATGTGGAGAACATCGCTGTTACCACACGCCAAGTTCTGCCTGGGAGAGGAGGCAGAGGTAATGCACTTTACTTGCATGCAACACTGTGGTTATGCAATGAAACTCTTTCTAGACCCGGACTGATCCCTCCACACATGGCTGTGTGCCCATACTAGCTTTGGGACCTCTGCTCATCCTTTCGTTGTGCCCTGTTGCTTAAAGTTTTGTGCTTTCTCAAGGCCATGGGGATGAGGAGAAAACAGAAAGGCAAGAAATGACACTTCTACTTGCAAACTGCAGTGCTGTGCAAAGCAAAGCTGACTCAAAGTTATTCTACAAGCCTGTGCAGAACTGAGTTTTGCTGCTCAAAAAAAATGGAGAGCTAATGGCTCTTTCACTTTGACCCCAGGATGGCACTAAAAGGAAAAGGAGCTGGATGGTATAGGTGAGGGAGGGCCTTCCAGGTGGACTACCTGCCACAGATGGGCCTGGCTGCATTAGGAGAAACTCAGTGGTGGTAGCCACTGTTATCCTGTCAGGAGGAACTGCTGCCTGTAATGCTTCAGCCGTTTGGCCTAAAAGCAGCAGCAGCCTTTAGCCCAGCTATCTAAGACTCTGACATAGGCCTAAAATCAAGTTTCTCCCCAAACATACCTTTTTCCATATTGGGACAGATGCTTTTAAGGTATTGATGCAGTACTTTACAGCTTCAAGGGATTCTGTTCTGTGTGGAGAGGAGACTGCAATAATTACACTTGCTTCAGTTACTGGAACCAAACTAGGGAGAGAAGCGAAACAACAGCAGTTTTAGCTAATGCTTAACATCAAGAGTACCCAAAAGTCGTGGCCATGTCACGTCAGTATTCTGGCCACACGCTCTCCTGACTCATTCATACTGAGCAAGTGTCAAGCCATGTCCAAAAGATTATACACTTTTAAAAGAAAGAAAACCACAACCAAAATCAGCACCAGATGTGAGAACTCCGCGCTTTAGAATAAAGAAACCCACCAGACATAGGCTTTTTTCTTCCATTCTTCCTTTTTTTTTTTTAAATAAAGTCTATGGAATTAAGAGGAGGAAATTGCTAACTTGCAACAATGCATAGGAAACTCACTGAAAGCTGGCTTAATAATGAATAGTTACAAGTTAGGAACAGCCAGTTCTTACCTGAAAACCGAAGAAATCATGTGAGTTTGCACAAGGACTTGTGAAAGAAGAAATTAAGTGTCTCAAACTATGCAGATTTTGCAATGAAACTTATTTTTGGACAAATTCTGATTTCAAATTATGAAGTTTTTCCTCTTTATGGTGTTGTTTTCCAAACTTAACAGGAGCAGCACAAGGTTTTGCTTTGCTCCTCACAAGGGCAGTATGCCCAAAGTATGCCTCCCAACCCTCCCTTTGCAGTAAAACTCCTCTGGCAAACAGTTCATAGGAAAAATCCAAGCTCAAATGCATTGAGCTTCCCTCAAGAGAATCATTCTCTCTGTTGGCTATAAAGAAAATCTAAAGAAACTACCCTTTTGCAAACACCTTCTAAGTTCCTTCTGCTGAGAGAAAACAAGGATTTGCAACAGACACTGCAAATCCTGCTAGTTTCAGTGAGAAATTTGATGAACAGTGAAGGCTCAAGAGTATATCAGATACTAGTATGCCATGTTTTCAACCCAACAAAAAATGCTTACCCAAAACCCAAGGAACAACAGGAAGTTCTCTGGCAAGCATGGCTAGCAGGTGCCATGCCTCTCCCCTCCCCACAGTCTAAGCTTTCAGGTGCCCTATGGCATAACTTGACTTAAATCTAACAGCATTATGCAGCACCTCAGTGGAAAACAGAAGAAACAAGTGTGTGCTGCCACCTCCACATCCTGAAAAAAAGACAAAACAAGCCAACAGCATCCCCTTGCCTGGAATGAAATCTCATCCCTTCTCCACACTTTCAAACTATCACACTAGCATCACAGATCCTGGAGGCTAAATGTGGACTCCAGCAAACACTACCGACACACACATTTTTGAAAATATGAACTTCTGAAACTTAGCTCCACAGCGAGAGCTTGATCCTGCAGCCAGCTCTGCTGTATCAGTTTACAAAGATTCCTGCAACTATGTAAGCACAGCCACGCATCGGAAAAGGATTAATATTCCACTTTCAGAAGGATGGGGTCTGGCCATACATACCCAAGTCTGTGGTGCACTGCAATATGTTTGACTGATGGCCATTTCTGTCTAACATCTCTGCAGATTTTCTTTATTTCAGTCTCTGCCATTGAAGTATATGCTTCATATTCTAAGCGAATCACTTTTTTCCCTTCAAAATTATTTCTTGTAGTACCTAAACACAAATGATTTATGAACCAAAAGCACTGAGTAAATATATATTACACATTTATTTTATATATATATTCTATTATGTACTTATTATATAATAACTTATTATGTGTAAATACTCAGTAAACCCCAAGATCTCTTGCTGTGATTGGTCAACACTGTCCAAATATAAACTACCCTAATCAAGGCTGTGCAAAGAGACTCTGAACAAGAGAAATCTTTAACACAGCAGGAAGAATTTAGTTTAGACAAGTCTTCTGTCTTGAGTGCCCAAGGCTGGGACATCTTGTGTGGTAACTGCTAAGGTGCTATTATTGCATTTGCCCATGCAATGTTTAAGTGCTCAGCATTTAGGAGCCCCGCAGCACCAAGGTTTAAGCACGAAGGGGTTTCAAGAACTGTACCATGTACGTTAAGCAATGAGAGAGACATGAGTCTTGATCTTCACCGGCCCTTAGGTAAAACAGTACTTCACTTTCAACCAAGATCTGGAGAAGCTTTCACACAGGTGTGGACCTGTGGTTTGCACAGCCACAACATCCCGCTGCCCACCCTGAACAAGCCGTGACCAGGGGAATGGGAGAATAGCTCCCAAGCAGTCCTGTACTCCAGAGCTGCTGTTCTGTTCAGCCCTAGGATAGCCACACCAGCAGGGGAGCTTCTCACCACTTTGTCCCAGTGCAACTGTTTAAGAGCTGCCATGGTCTTGTTCTAAACAATTCAGAACATGTTTTCTAAACATCCTGGGTTCAGTCCAGGCCTTTATTTATTTGAGAAGCATGAGTCTGGAGCATGGACAATCTAGGTTCCATTTATTAGACTATTTACACACAGAGAGATCCAGCTCAGAAATATTAAACTCACCAATGAAGAGAGACACTGCCCCACAGTACGGTGAAATGACCAGCTCTGACACTTCATCCACAGAGAGCTTTTCAGACTTGAGCTTGATAAAATCTTTTGGCACATCTTCGCTTTCACCCATAGCTGACAAGAAAAGCTGAAACCAAACAGACTCTGGTTTTGTTCATGGCGACACTAGCACTGGCCAACTGCTTTTTATCCAGTGCTGATGCTCCAATTTATGCAGAAACATGCACCATCTACTGCCTCACCCCAAGAGACAAGTCTCCATGGCAGATTCACTTCTCAGCACACTTGCTGAGAGCACTGTAACTGCAAATATCAAGCAATGACCTGGATATCAATGCACACGGGTTCCTTCCTGGTAGGAAAGTGTGGTCCACAAGGACGGAACTAGAACTAGTCTGTAGCCCCATTTTCACAGTGAAATCAACCAGCATGGACCCCTGTGCTAGTAAATCTGCAGTAAGCTTTACTCTCCTCTCTATCTTATCCTGAAATCAAACACAGTTAGAGATTTCTGATAAACACGAGTTCTAACCCTAAACTTTAATATGCTCTCCAGGACATTTGGGGCCTCATACTATCTGTCTGTTTCAGTGACACAGGAGACACTCTACTTTCTCTGAATGGAAATCAGTCATCAGTTCATCTAAGTATGAGGAGGAAAAGAAGTATTTTGAGCAGCAGCAATGGAACAAGCTGCAGTAAATATTTTGAGCAGCAGCAATGGAACAAGCTGCAGTAAATACATGGGAGGCACATGAAAGCATGCAAACAAAGCTATTCTAAGGACATCTGTTCCTTTGACAGCAACAAAAAAAGCCAAGGTTGGTTTTGGTCTTTGTTTTAAGGAAGCAGTCAATTCTTTTTCTGTTATCATCTTTTCTGTTAAAAAGTGGAAGGAAGTTTTTCATTATTATCTTATTTAGGCAAGTTGGATATCTACTGGCAGCCAGAAACAACTACAAAAAGAATAACAAGACCTAAAAACCAAATTCAAAACAGTGCCTGACCTCTCTGGCAATTTTTTTTCCATTTACTGCATACGTGTTAATCATTCATTGGTGCACCAATGAGAGTTTCTGGTCAGCACAATGGCTCTCTCCAGCAGGAAATGCAAGTTATGCTCTCTCAAAAGTGTACCGAGGTGGAGGGAGAGAACTGCAATCACATCTCTGGACCTAAACAAAAAAAGATAGGAACATTATACAGAATCCATGAGATATTTTAGTACAGGATGACACTCCATAGGAAACTAAGCAAGAACTGATACCTACCTAACAGAACATCGGCAGATTCAGCCTCCACTAATTGGGGGGATGATGGCAACCTCGTCTCCAGGCTGCAGGACCAGGACCTGATCTCCAAGAAGCACGTACTCCTGCCGAACAGCAAAAACCACTTGATCCCGGATGACAGCAAGCCTGAGGGGATTGGCAGGAGCACAAATAGGTTTCTAAATACAGTGTTTGCATTTAACCATGAGATTTCATTAAACAACAAACTAGTGCACAGTCCAGGGCAGCTGAGGTAAATACCACTGAGACTTACGCAACTCTGCTTCCAATGCACTTTCAAAAATACAACACCCACCTCCTACTCTTGGATTTTCTTCTGGTGGCTAAGGAAAATCAACTCAGTATAATTTTCAGAAGTGAGGAACTGGATTTGTCATAGGCCTACATCAGAACAAATCAAGGTATACCACACCTACTTTAGCAACTTCTAACACAGAAGTAGGTAACTCAAGAGGGTAGCAACCATCCAGTTTGGGATGAGGAAGAAATGTTCCCCTGATTCAGTTTGGCTAGACTGGAACAAGTTTCTTACACAGCAAGCAGCACTTGCTTGCTGTGAGATCCCATGAAGATTCAGTGGTCACAGAGCCACTCTTTCGTAACCTCACAGTGACAAGGTTTTGGGTCTTCTGTACTTACAGATCTGAAATATGCTATTGATACTGAGTGGCAACAGAACTAACAGGGCAGATATCATGTGTTTTCTGGCAGATCTTCTATGTATTTTTTCATTTCACATCCATGAGATGTTGCTGTGGGAGTCCACAGAGCTCTGGATACCATGAAGCAGGGAGTCTCTTACATGACTAAGTGCAATCAGACAGCCAAGTGTGAGGGCTACTAAGACACCTGAAAAAAGGAATGCCAACACTTTACTTCGGAAGGTGCAGGCGTGGTAACTGTTACTGTTTGAGACTACAAAATTTATCACAGGCAGCGAGGAACTGTATTGCCTAGAAACAAGTAGGCACACCTAAAGGGTGCAAGTAAAGATCATTTATTTCCTACCAACCAGATAGACAAAAGTAGGCAAGGGCCAGGCTCATCAAAACACAGTAGCTCTGACTCAGAAGGCAGACTGAAGGGAGGGACTGTATGAAAGTAAAGCAAGCCACTGAGGAACTGAGTGCAACTGTGGAACTGAAGTGCCCATTAGAAGGATGGGCTCTAATTAATGTCACTTGCAAGTTAATTCACTGGGGAAAATGGGTGGAACAGAAGAGCATTGTAAAGTATGCTCAAGCTGCATTTTGAATATCCATTAGCAATGTGAATAGAAGTCTGTGGTCAGTGCCCTACAATTATGTTGAGTTTTTCCAGAAAAGCTAGGAGCAGAAGCATTTTCCAAGAAGGCCACTGTGAAGTAACTGCACATGCAAAATGTACTGCCTCGAGTCATCTTTCATAAAAGGACAAAGTTGACAAACTATGGCAAACTGACCAAAGGTGCTGCTCCTGCTTTTGACACCATGAAATAGGCTGTAAAGTAAAATATACTTGTTCCCTACTGCCTCCTCCCCCAAAACACACTTGGTCTCAATTCCCTGTAAGTAAAAGGCCTCTGGTCTAACATTTGGTTAAAGCATCTCATCTAGAAACAGGCTGTTGCTAAATAGTTTTTTTTTCATAGCCTTTGAGACAACATCTGATAAAGGCGGCTGGTGCCCAAAGGAAGACTTTGGCACCTAAGTCCAAAGATACGGAAATTCCAGTGCATTCATCACGAAATCCTGAGGACCTCAACCTCTGTTATACCTCCTACCCTTCCCCAAACGGTGTTACACCTTTGTCTATCAAATTCATTCTTGACAGGACTGAGCACCTTCCGTCAGCCTTAACCTGAGGGGGAATTTCTCATGACACTCTCAAAAAGCACCAGTGCCGGAGGGTTCACACCTTGCACTGCCTCAGGACCGGGCTCCCTGTGACAACAGCGGTTGTGGTTTTTTAAAGCAGAGCAGGTTGGAAGTGCCTGACCCTATTTCCTACATAAGGGCTGAGTGGCTAGAAGCCTGTGTCAGGGCTTCAGTTCTCTTCCTGACCTGCCTTCCAGAGCGTGCTGTAAGTTCAGACCAGCGGCTAACAGCACAGTTAAAGACAAGGGATCAAAAACACCAGCACGTTACCATGAATTTCTTATTTATTACCCTGGCTGTGCCTGGTCGCTCCTTGAAAAATCTCACTGTCCCCACACGTGAGTACAGCTCAGGTGTACAACTCTTGTGGAGTTACCACACTGTGGCCTTCCTGGACAATGGGCCGCGTCTTAGGCTACCCCTCAGGTTCCACTTTTGGGTACATTTATCGGATCTAATCTTTCCTTGTGTATACATAAAGTTACAGCATTTGCAACTGTCCAAAACACTCGCTGCAGGTTACAAGAACAAGGTAATGCCGCTGCTTTGATGGTGTCCAAGTACTGATACGTGTTCCAGCTCGATTCTGAACGCCGAATTCGTATTTACCAAAAAAACCCCACCCAACCGCGTAACACTCCGTGCACCTCGGCAGTGCCTTCCCGGAATACCTTGGGTGAACCTTGACGATCTCCTCCCAGAGCTGCAGCGAGGTGATCTGCCGTGGCACCCAGAGGCTCTCGCAGCGCAGCCCAGCCAGCTCCGCGCTCCTGGCGAAATACAGCACCGAGACCTGCTCGGGGCA